AACGTATCTTCACCGTACGAGGAGACATCATCGGTGCGCAGTTGGATGGGTACTTCTTCCTTGCCTGCGTGCGTTCACATAGCATTCGAAGGCTATCTATTATCTTCTGACGTGATTGGCTGCTTGAAGTGTAACGAACAGAACAAGCTACTAAAAATAGGCGTTGGGATAACCAAGCAACGCAAAGCAACGCAGACCACAACGCAACAAAGATCACAAACGGACCAATAGATTCACTAAATTCGTTACACTTCAAGTAGCCAATCACGTCAGAAGATAACAGCTAGCCTTTGAATGCTATGTAAACGCACACAGGCAAGGAAGGAGTACCCACCTTACTGTGCACTGATGATGTCTCCTCGTATGGTGACGAAACGCTTGCAAACCAATTGCCAAGCTCGGCGAGCATATCAGCAGCCACCTGATCAACAACCAATAAACTCACCCGAGCTACCAATATTTGAACACATTAACAACTACTATCGGGAAACCAAAAGCAGCAAATGTGGAGCATAGCGAGCAAAAGTGAGGTCACCTTGTAGCAAAGTCCACTCGCTCCCACTCGTAGCACGATAGTCGTGACAGCTGTTGAAATGGGCTAACAGTGATGTTTCCAGCGCGTGGCGGATTATCAGTGGGCTACTGAGTCTCCCACAAAATGTCACAGTGACGATACCACGACATGGCCTGCTTTAGTCTACCACGAGAAAATGGATTCCAGGTCACCGCTTAGTGCTATTAACGTCACAGTGGTCACCGACGCCAGTCAAACCCTGCTGAGGCCCTTCTGAAGGTTCTGCACTCCGTACTCTTCCTTCGGCCTTCCAATGCGCACTTGGCTGCGCAGAAGCTACAGATACATTGTCGAACATTAAATATTGAAATTTGCTAGGAAATCATTGCACCTTGCAGGCGGTGAGGCAAGAAGCAATGAACGCTGACAACCTACCGAGGAACTTCTGAAGTGAATTAATTTGATCTAATTGGAGAAATTTTCCTACGCAGGTGGAATTCCGCTCCCCCTTTTATCCAACGCGGCACTAATTCGAAGTTCACCGGACAAAGTTTAAGTGACTATCACAGTTGGTACATGGCTGCAATACATTNTCTTTCCCCATCTGTCTACGTGAACTCGCATGGACTACGCGTTCCTTCTGCGCAAACCAGCATTTGACATTTGGCCGAACTCCCATGTTAATTATACCAGATTTCGCTTCCGCAGCTTCCATCCAATCACAGACTTCCCTGACTTGCCAAAAATGGTTTACTCGGAAGACGGAATGCTGCCAAAATTCACCCAACCTTTGAGAAATACACTCATTTGCAAATCAATTTGGTTTTCACGAGAGACTCAATTGAATCTCTCGTTTGTAATGTCCTCCAGCTGAATGTGTTGCACACAGGCCGCCTCTTGTTTCAGTTGACACGATCTTCGAGATATCGCAGTATATTTTCGTAAAGGAAACTACTCACAAGGTTGCTGAAAACTCTCCGACAGACCTCGACCGGTTTTGCCCTTCTTTGGGCTCGTCAGGTAGGCGCAGTCGCCGAGTTTCCGTCCATCTTATGATCTACTTGAACGCAAATTGCACTGTTTTCGAGAAATACACTCATTTGCAAATCGATTTGGTTTGAACGGCCGATTGTTTCATTCACAAGGAAACTGTCACGATGCAACTGTACAGTCTCCTTTAGTTTCAATAGATTTATATTAAGAAATGTCTAAGCTTAGGAAGAACAAGCTAACACTGAGAGTCCATCATCTCAGGTTTTAAGTAAACTTACACTCTGAATTCACTCAGAGTTGGCAAGCACCATGCAAGCCTCTACGTGGACGATAGAGGACACTCAGTCTAATGAAACCGGTTAAATCACCACATCTTAACTGACGCATTAAGAAGCTCAGTTAGTATCAGCCACAATGCTCAGACTACAATGCACAACCACTTGACATGTATTGTAAGGTTGTAGGCAAAAAAGCAACAAAGAGCGAAATACACTCATTTGCATACCAATTTAATTTTTGACGGGAGACTGAGTCGGCTGAGTCTCTTGTTTATGATTTTTTTTAAACAACTGAATGCGATGCACCAGGCCGCTTCATGATTCAGTTGGCAAGATATCGTGATATATGTATAGATGTAATAGACTAGTCATAAGGTTGCTGTGAATATCACAAACGAGAGGCTCAGCTGGGACTCAGGTCAGTCTCCCGTCGAAAACCAAATATTGTGCAAATGAGTGTATTTAGCTAATTTCGTGTAATTTGGGTCCAAGTAGAACATAAGGTTTGACGGTACTGCACCTCTTTGATGAGTCCCAAGAAGGGCGAAACCGGTCGTGGACTGTTGAAGAGTTTTAAGCAACCGCATGAGTAGTGTACTACGTCTATACAAAGCAGAAAATTTCTTTATTAAACACAAATCAGAATTATGAGGAGTGTGTTGTCCAACACTTCTCCATTGGGAGGTAAAGTGAGCCGCATTAGAGAGGTAGTTTCAAGGCGGACGGATAAACCACCTGACTAACGTGGTGGCACACACCTGCATGTGGTCGAACTACAGCGCAAGTCGCTACAAGGTGGGGAGCGTCAGATAGATGAGGTACTATACCTCGAATTAACAATTCAACCGAGCAAAAGGACCAAAAGTGAAAGGCTTGTGTAAAAGTAAACCACATGATGCAGCCCACATGACTTGCTCGTTTCTCTGTTCAACGCATGCAAATGATCTGACCCCATCATGTGCTAGAGCAACTGTGAAGCAGGAGTGGATGTTCATCAACACAGGTACACTTGCTTTGTGTTTCATGAGCTGCTCCATACTGGGGGCAACTACGCACGAAGAAATTTTGTATTCCAGTTTGAGCTGAATTATTGAACGTTGGGCCTTCCGTTCAAGGAGCGTCGAAGGCGAAAATGCTATCGAGCTTAAATAAAGATACAATTGTTCTCTTCTTTCCATGAGACTCTCAGAAGAAACCGGTTGTGGTGACACGTTTCGCAAAGACGCGATGTGGAACAAATAGGTGACTGAAAAGCGATGTTTATCTCTCTGATGACAGGAATAAATTAAACGCTCAGTTGTGAGTAGACTTTGATGCAGCAAGTAGATACGGTTGGCACTTCGTTTTTGCTAGTCAGCCGCATCCAAAAATTGAAAATTACAGCACCGAGAAAAAAAATGACAGGGCCAACGACGCTAATCAATTATCAAATCAATCGGGTCGAGATAATTTGACGGAATTTGTTAATGAGTCGTGCGCACAAGCCCTGACCAATCAGTATGACCGAAAGTTTCGGGGTAGAAGTTGGAGCGTTTTTTTTTTAAGCCAACACGCCCACCGGCAGTTTGGATATTGGCAACTTCCTACAGTGTGGCTGAAAACTCACGTCTGAGCTGGGACTGAAGAGTCGGTCGCTTCCTTCACCGTCAAAATAGCACACTGATATCCTTCCACAAATCGGTAGTATACGGGCTACTTCGAGATTCCTTTTTTGGAAGCCTTTCAATAAAGTTCCATTTATTTGTCCCCGGAGCCTACAGCTGCCTGAGGAGTTCAAGACAAGGCGAAATTCTTTGTGTATTTTTGGCAACTAACGTACCGTTGGTCTCGAAAAATGGAAGAAACGTCAACAGAATGCCGGTGCAGCCCGTAGACTACCCACTATGTGGAGGAAAGGTAGAAAGCTACTGATCACGGGGGACCCCGTCGAGTCTACATTTTCAGTCATCTCAACATGCGTATGAGTTCAGATCTCACACAAATTTACACAACCGTAAACAAGGCTTGGGTAGGCTGCGTGATCGTTGAGACGGGTTTTCTAGCTGGAGTTCGCCTTGCCCTCATCGACCTGATCACCTCGTCCAAGTAGTAGCGTATTACCTGGTAAAATCACCTAAGCTTCGATCTGTTCTGTTTGAGAATAGTTCACCATAACTGCAACTGGCCTGATTTGTGCTTATGTGAGCCAGACATTTGGTGTGAAGTAACCAGTTGAAACGGTCGATGTGACACAAACCGATTCTGTAAACCCATGGATTGATGCGCGCTTGAAACCCGATTAAGCAAGAATTCATGAGTTAACACTCTCAACAGATTTCAACTGCGCGGATAGCAGTGATTTCACAGTGCGATGCGAATTGTAACTGTTTAGCTACGGTTGTTGTTTAGAAAACCCTCTTGCAAATCACTAAGCCGTAGAGTGTGTTGCATGTTCCAGGCGATAAAAGGTTGGTTGAATAGAGTCCAGGGTAAAGTCATTTGCATAACAACTGTGTATGAATAGGAGGTTAGATTAGCTTCAACCGGCACTGCCATTCACTGATCGTGGACGGCTTAGTCTTTGTTCGATGAACGTTGAAATTACTTGGATTCTATAGCCCAGAATATGAAAGAAAGTTCCTGCTCCGAAAGAGGTTCTGAGAGAAGCCAAGAGCACAGGAGTAGTTGATCTAGCTCAGTATAGGCGTCGAATTGGCACAATTCGACAATATCACGTATGTGCGCCACTGTGGTTGCCATCCGCGTGATGTGGCTTTTCGCATGAGCTTTGAATGGTTGTGTTACATCCATTTGCAGAATCTCACCTGCGACAAGAAGTGGACTGACCACGTTTGCTAGTTATGCGCTTCGGAACACTCATGAATAGCTAGGTGCACACGTGTCACATCAAATCTGATTTGTTATCCACTCATCCTCATCATCAGTGACACCAGAGAAGAATGGTCGTTCTCCACTGCCGTACAACCACGCCAGTTTATTTAAATGAAGTCCAACAATGGAAAGCGAAGAATAGGGAGAAGAGACTTCGGGCTAGCCTACCACAGATGTACAACACTACTATCCACTGGATCCACGACGGTTTTTTAACTTAGTGGAATGAATATAACAGAATGAGTTGGAGAGTGCTAATGTCGGTCCGCTGCAGAACAAACTGAGTTACTTCGGTAGATAAAGGTCTTTGCGACAAAAGGTGGGAAAACTCAAAAAGTTACACATCAATAACGTTCTGTTAGAGGTAGGGTGCGGTTACTTCCGAAAATACCGAAGGTTCGGCGAAACCACACAGACTGTTCCTCCGGGGACGTGCAGGACGCATTCATGTGCATACCAGTCCCGAACGGTCTGCGTGCGATTTCCGGTGAATAGAGATGAAAGATCGAGGTCTGCTGCATGTCTGACATTTCGACGTTCAAAACACCGTTCCACCGTTCATCTAAAAAAACGCCGTGCCCAGGTTCGGTTCGCCTGTAAAATACAAACTTTCCAGCGTCAACAAAGAGAGTACCGCTAATTGGATGCAGCACAAAGCCTAAAGTTAGTCTATAGGAATAGAAAGCCAAGGCTCAGAGCTAAACTCAAGGGAATCAATGTTAAAATTCCGAATAATTTCGGATAAGATGACCTAAGGTGACTTGACAAGAATCTCGAAATGCCCTGATGGGAATCGAAATATGTCGATTGAAGATGTCCTAGGGGTGTGTATAGCTTCGGGGTACACACACACACACACCAGCGATTTGGAATGCAATGTTTGGAATGCATAAACTTGACATCGGACCACCCCTAAATTTTTCTTTGGTAGACTCAAAGAGCACGGCCGGGAATTCTTAAGAATTCCATCGAGGCATCTTAAAAAATGTACAGGGACATCTTATAGTGCAAAAGGGCATAAAATAAAACAAAAACTACCCAGGAGGAGATGTGTCAGCTAGAGGAGTACAAATCTACAACTGGTCTTTTTAATCTGAGTTTATTTATGGGAATTCGAATGGTAAGAAAAAACATGCTTAGATGTACGCTTTATTCACGGAGAACTATTTATGGGAGAAACGACCTCCCCACAAAGAGCATCGCCACTTTCCCAAATGAGGACAGACTGAAATACTTAGGAGTTAAACGAAAATTCGCAAAGCAAACTGGTATCAGTAGGCGAGCAACTCTATTGGGTCTGTGGTTTACGATATGATAGCAATCAAATCACGGGACTAGAAAACACTTTGGCTCTCATCAAAGGTTAGTTCTGCCACATGAAATCTGGTGATATAACACCAGTTTCCTTCTCATAGTCAGTGTTCGTTTATCGCTGATTTCCAGGTATTGCCGTGTATTCCCGTTTATTGACCTTGGGGTTTATGGATTTTGTATGCAACTGAAAAGCGCTCACCTGGAAATTCACTGTAGAACTCCTAATAGAAACTCAAGGCAGAACTGATATCTCAACTCACAAAGCATGTGTCGGAAGACTAACCTTCCCAACAAGCGAGAGCAACTTCGGAATCCGAGAAATCACTCGTGGGGAGATCCGCTGAACTAATCTAAATAGATCTACTTATACGCTCATCTGCATACCAATTTGGTTTTGATGGGAGACCCAGGAGTGGTACAGCTGGGTTTAAGGCGAGTCAGGCGTGAAAACCACGCTAGTATGCAAACGAGTGTAGCTGTGCAATTTCGTGCAATCTCGGGCCAAGTACAACATTAGGTTAATGGAAACTCGGGGACTGCGTCTACTCGATGAGCCCCAAGAAGGGCGAAACCTGTCGTGAGCTGTCGAAGAGCTCTAAGCAACCTTGTGAATAGTGTGCCACATTGAGACGAAATAAAATCTCCCTTACTACGTTTCCAAAACCACGTTAAGGGAGGCAGATTTTTTTGCCAACACGATTCTTTTTAAATACGGAAAACACCTCCACACCTTTCAACTTTGAAATCTCAGTCTATTGCTTTACTTCCTAGCTGTTACCCGTCCACAAAACTCACAACTATCAGGTTCTCAAAGCCGAGTCAAAAGGTGATGACTGCGGTTTCCGATCCCCACTGTTATTCCTCTAAGTTGGGTTGTTATATTTGCAACATTTCAGTCCAAAAGTACATAAGCATGGTAAATTCTACACCTTATGCTCATACCAAGCATTGAGTAATGTTGTGGTCAGATTTGGCATAGTCGTATTGGTGCTTTGATATTGTCTGAACTGCAGTGGTTAGTCCACGGGCATGCACATCCAATTGCCTGCAAATTATTCTGATGGTTCCTCGGATTTTGCTGACTGCAGTGCGACATAACATAACAGTCAAAATCAATCCATTCGTTCGTCACAGAGAACGATAGCGAACTGAACAAATTTGCATTACCTAACGGTTGCTTCCAACGTGCACCACTTCAGTTCACTCTGACTAAAGCATCAATCCGGATCGATTTCCATTGCCATCCGGGGGGTGGGGTGGGGTATTTATCACATTCTCTCGCCTGCAATCTGGAAGGCAGATAGTGTCTCACTACAGACACCAACACCTCCACCACCACCATCACCACACTGATTACAACTTGAATGAGAAAGGGTTTCTTGACCTGTCTTGGGGACGGGTTCTCTTAAAAGGAATGTGTGAGTCAATAAACCGGCTTTTGAACAGACTGCACGAACAATCGCGGTGCTTCCACCAACGAGGACTGAACTTGTACCCGCAAATATGAGTATTTTAACAATGAACGTCCAATTCGGTTCTTCTTCGGTTCAGAGCAAACGACATGAGGTCCTTAGAGGTTTGAATAATGAGGGAATGAGGATGAATCCTGCGTATCTGGGGTCTATTTGCTCCCGGATACTTTGTGGCACAAACCCTATTCAGGAGGATTCATCCTGAGTATAATTTCGTCGGAAAATGACAGGGATGAGGTGCACTCAAAATCGACCTGGAATTGAAAGCCTACTTTGTAAGCTGACTTCACCCTTGCAACATAAAACGAGTTAACCTCGAGAAATACACTCATTTGCAAATCAATTTGGTTTTCACGAGAGACTCAAATGAATCTCTCATGGTGTTCTACAACTGAATGCGCTACACACAGGCCGCCTCATGTTTCAGTTGGCACGATATTCGAGAGCTCGCAGTATATTTTCATGAAGGAAACTACTCACAAGGTTGCTGAAAACTCTTTGACAGCCCAAGACCGATTTCGCCCTTCTTGGGGCTCATCAGATAGGCGCAGTCCCCGAGTTTCCATCAACCTTATGTTCTGTTTGAACCCAAATTGAACTGTTTTCGAGAAATATACTTATTTGCAAATCAATTTGGTTTTCACGAGAGACTCAACTGAACGAGTTAACTTCCTTCGGCGTAAATTGGTAAATTGGTGCGTAAGTCACAGCTTGGTAATCAGATCCGACACAGTATTAAATGAGGTAGACAAAGTCAAGGTGATTGAGGCATATACTGTGCATGCCCAACAGCTGTCTAACAAGGAAAGCGTTGTTTCTAATTCAGAATCCTTTCTGGTGACAATTGTGCGCGGGCAACAGGATGTGACAAGACAACACAAAATGAAAGAGGCTACAGTCAAGCGCTGTTCTGTGGGCCCCGGGGCCTTCTCCAGTGGAGCTCGCACAGGTGGTCGTGGACCCCACAGTATACGGTATGTAACTGATCCCAGTGACGAACATCCTGTGACTTCCTGGCCGAACGGCCAAGCTAACGTTCCTGTATGACTGTGCACCGCGCTTGTGTTGCAAAGATACACAGAAGATACTAAGCAGATGCCGCTGATGATATCTTACTCTAATAAAGGGTTCAGATTTGTTTGTTCGAAGTTGCTGATCAGTTTCTCTAAGGGTATTAGACGTCTTCGAATCAAGTACCCCCCCCCCCCGTCTTTCCTGTGTGGTAGTTAATTGCCACCATATACTAGTCGTGCGTTGTTGTCTACAGTGCTCATCTTTACTAAAATGCAGGGTAAGGTTCACCAAGATCAGTATTTGTTAAGTAACTTCCCTGCTGCCTCCGAATATAACGTAAGCATAGGTGAAACCCCCACGATTTCACTGTGGACATGACTTTCCAATCGGGAATTGACCTCGTGATTAGGGTCAGTTTATGCCGAAAAGCCGGGAAGCGCTATACAGTCATTTCATTCCTACCAGCAGCAATGCATACCCCCAAACCTCAGTTGTGATTCGAACCCGGTACTTTCAAATCAGTAGTTGCAGATAACCATTCGGTCAATAGCGGCTGATCAACGGTGCGACTGACTTGCATTCGGAGAGGATACAACACCACTAAGCCTTCCTTCAAGTGTTGACTGATCCCTCGAGTAAAAACTTCTGCTAAGGTTCGAACCAGTCTGGAAATTCACGAGGTGCTCACTACTGATGATTTTCAATAAGAATGAAGTAGCCGCACACTACTCCTCGTCTTTCCCGCATGGACCAACTTCATTAAGAGGACGGAGTCTCGGTTGAAAAATCCACAAATCTCCTTACACTGTCAACAGACAACACGATCAGTAATGTTGGGACTGAGCAGCCAAATGAGTAGTAATAGGAAGTAGAATATCAAGCTGGATATTGTGTTTGGCAAAGTTAAACTCAATACCCACTGGACTGTAGGTTAGCAGTTTAATTTTCCTGGCTGGTTTGACCATAACTCGGGCGACTGAGAAAACACTGGTGCATTCACTTGCTTCCCACGCTTACGTCCATCAACATTTCCATCCACCCATGAAAAAAATTATTGTCTCTCACGGATCATGGAGTTCACGGTTTTCGCTCGGAGGGAGACAGTGAAATTGTGCTTTGCAGAATAAAATAGTGGTAGATGTGGGTTATGTCCTTCCTAGCGAAATAGAAATGGAAGGCTGGGGGATACTACCTGCTGTGGACCACTTTGGGGAGCGGCTTCACTTCAGAGGGGACTGCTTGGAAGACTACTGTACCTGGTATCTGATTACCGAGATGAATGAGTGCACAGTGCCCGGGCCAGTTCGCAGCGCTCCAATATAGATCACCTCCACACACGAGGTTTGAGATGTGTGGCCGTCGGTTTGTTCGCAGAGCTGGGCAATTTGATTGCAAACGTTTCATCACCAATCGAGGTGGCATCATCAGTGCATTACTGGGGAGCGCAGTGGTGCGTAGCGGTGGGTTAGTGGTTGTGCGTTAAGTAGTGCTACGTGTGTGTTAATATACGCGCTGATAGCAGGGGATGACCGTTGATCGCGATTAGTTATTCGGTCGGTCGGTTCCATTGGTTGCTCCGTTGGGTCTAAAATGCATTAATTTAATGTTTTATCATTGTAGCTTAGTGTCCTCCTAGTCTTGCATATTACCACGAATTTGTGCCTCCGAACTAGGCTTGGCTAACCCATAGCTATCCCAGCTCTTGTTCATCCTGCGGCTTGGTGTGGGATTCATGGGATTGTAGCTCGTGATTTTCATATAACACTGAATTTGCCCTCTTTCTGCTTTTCGTATGTGATTTTGATAAGACTTCCGAGTTCAATGTGTTAAACCTCGAGAACTTCGTAAATGATCGTCTAAGGAAATGGACTGAATAAAATGTGGACAGTTTGAGGCATAGACGGCTGAATAACTAAAATATCGTTTTGTTTTTAGTGTACTTCAATCATCTCTTGAGATATGAGTCGTTTGAATTGCTGCAGTCCACAAATAACCATCGGTGCGGAATTCAGTAGACAACGTGAAGGCTGGAACGCTCGATATCAGCCTAAATAGTGGATATTCTCTTTTTTTTCAACTGACTTCCAAAATGGCGACGCATTTGGCTAGATCACTGACTCCACAAAACTGCCGTTCTTAGTACAAGCAACGGTGCAACTAACGCTGTTCAACATTTGAGATTGCCTTCCCAAGTCACATAGACTTAAATGGCGACTCAAATTGGCGTGTAAATTGTTGTTGCCGTGCTCAGGCGGTAACTGCGGCTCACGAAATTTGTCTTCCCGTGCTCCTATATGATGACTACAGAGCCGATTTGCTATTAGACGGTGCAAATTGTTGTTGCCGTGCTCAGGCAGTAACTGCGGTTCAAGAAATTCGTCTTCCCGTGCTCCTGTATGATCACTACAGAGCCGATTTGCTATTAGACGGTGTGGTTATCAACGCCAATCTGGTGCACAAGCACATCTGTTTCTTATTGGTTTATTTCACCATACCATGAACTCTGCATTACCAGGACTGACTGAGCCCATTGGTTAAGACAAGGGTCGCTGAGAGACCACTGTGGTTCGAGTCTGCCCATGGCTTGAACGTGTGGTTACTACGCCCCACAAGTGAAGGGTTTGGTTCTTTTGGCCTAGTCCTGTGAATCGTGTGTCCTCAGTTCTTCAATGGTCGCGGTTTGAGTGTTCTGATTTTCAAGAAACTTGGCCAACCGTACAGAATATCGCAGAGTAGAGTTGCAGGCATCACACATTCAAATATCAACCATGTGATGAAAATCTGTGGAGAACTCAATCACAGAAGCAGTGTGAATGCAAATGGAAGCTACCAAGACCAGTGTGGGTACATCCAATCTATTGTGCTGTAGGATTCCCACAAACAGGTGGTGAGAATAGGGTGAGGAAGATGGCTAATTGGTCAAAAAAATATCTTACTTCCACCCCCCCCCCCCACAGGCAATGTGAGGTGTGCATTCTGAAAATGTACGTTTTAGTGAATCAGGGTCAGATACCGATGGGGTGGCCCAAAAGACCTGGGAACCAGCTAATACCATCACATACATAGCGTGGGAACATGAGCACCGGGACATAAAGAAACCAGCCATAAGCCTTTTGGGAGTCACGACATGGGAAGCGGAGCGCACAGATGGGTACAGGGCGTTGCCCATCGGCATGCTAGACAGAATATCTAAATACAGAAAAATACTGCAATGGAAATGTTACGTTCCTGGTTGCATCGTAGTTGAAACTACTTTCTTTTCAGCAAGTCACATTCAACTGATGATGTGACTGCGTCTACCGGTAAGTCACCTTAAATAGCCTGGATGAAAAAAACGACACCGGTCAAATTTTGCAGGAATACGCTGGCGAAAGAGAACAACTACAATTCGGCAAGCTTTTTCAGAATGGGCGGCAAGCTAAGAAAGTTGCATCGTTCCACGACGTGCGCTGAAGGGAATGAACAGAGTCGGGTGCCCCTGAGTGGCAGCTCCTAAGCTCTCAGAACCTACCCACGAGTTATCACTTCACGTTCATTATTCAATTTTGCAAGAAGAACGGCGAAACCGGTAATCAGAGGACAAGTTTGTTCCCGCAGTTCCAATGTGGAAACTCATAAAGGGAATTTGACGGGACCGACCAAAAGCTGTTAACGAGATGTAATGGACGCTGTTGAGGGGTCCGCACCGTAACTTCGTAACTGCTGTATTTCATGCATGAACGGAGCTTTTTCACTGATCGGATAAGCTCTCCTACCACAAAGATTTATGTTAACTATCCAGCATCCTAAGCATCAGTTGCGAAAGGTTGACAAGTTTTCAATCTCAAATCGAACTTGTTAGTGCTCCACCGAACATACTACTGTTGAGATTCATTAGAGATAATAGGGGTGGGGAGATCCGAAATGCCTGGGTGCGTAGAATGACACGTTGGTACCTCGGGTAATTTTTAGATGCGAATATACAGGATGAAAATGACGTATAAAGAGTCCGCACTGTGCTGACAGCGTTCGTCGATTTGCGACGGCAAACCAAAGGTCTGTTCTGACCATCTTGACAAGAAGGACAGCAACGCACCCCATAAAAAAAGTACACACCTCATGGTCGTACGCCATCACTGAGTTGCACTTTCAAGCCCCTGATCTGTCCGCCATCCTGCCAAAAGCACGTCGTAAATAAAAAAAGATTACGCTAAAATTTCACAATCTAAACAACAAATAAATACTCACCCCTTGGGGAAAAACCACCGACCAAGTTCGGGGATATAATCCGTCACCAAACTCCCGAGTTCTTGAGACCCATGAGCAGATTCTCCAGTATCCTCTGTGTACACCCTGCAGCTGAACCATAAAAAGACTTCCTGTTGTGAATCGTGGTGACAAGTAGAACATGTGAAACAGAGATAGGTACTCGAAAACTACACTCATTTGCATATCAATTTGGTTTGGACAGGAAACTCACCTGAAACCCAGCTGAATCTTTCGTTTATGATTTCCTCAACTACTATTAGGATATAGGTTCAAGTTACCATAGACATCATACTCGTGCACTATTCCGTCTATACAAAGCGTTTGGAGGGAAAGAAACATTGTCGAATCGGGACTACACCCTTCTTTGTGCAAAAAGAAAATCCGAACAAACAAAATGCCTAAGAAGAACCAACACCGATTTCGTCTTGACAAGAGACCCAAACAAAACCCGGATGGGTTTCTCGTTTGTGATATCCCTCAACTGAATGTGCTGCACACGATATGTCTCATGTTACAGTTGGTACGATAGCTGAGATAATGCAAAACGCTGTTGTGTAGACGTAACGTTCTACTCATAAGGTTGCTGAAAACTCTTCGACAGCCCACGACCGGTCTCGCCCTTCCTAGAGCTCCTCAATGTAGGCGCAGTTCCCGTCAACCTTATGTTCCACTAGAACCCAAATTGGACAGATTTCGATAAATACTCTCATTTGCACACTGGTTTGGTTTTAACAACAGACTGAACATATTTTCGGTTGAATCTCTCGTTTATGACGACGTTCTGTTTAAATTGAATATGCTGGCCACACAAAAGCCGTCTCATGTTTCAGGTGGCACACTATTTGAGATATCACAATAGTATGTTCCGGTGAAAAGTTCCCCTACTATTCTTCCTCTGTCTGCACAAAAGTCGAACAACGTACACTTCGTAAACGGTCTAGTTAACTATAGAAGAGAAATAGCGGCTTGATGCTTGATAAAAACGGGTTCCACGGAACTAGTTCATTTTCTTTGAACAGCCATAGAGACAAAATACACTGAGAGCGAAGTATTGTGCTTAGGGTGTGGCCAATCAGATCAAGGCAACTGAACTGAGCGTCTGTCGGGTGCTGGTCTGGTCAGAGAACTATGTCAAAACTTGCAACCCAATACGGTATTTCGGAGTCAATTTGACCAGATAAGAAACGTTGCGGTTTTGTCTCAATTAACGCGGAGATTTCTAGCTCCCAGCGTTAAGTTCCATCTTCTACCGTTGTTTAACTCATTGTACAGGTATCGGTGAAAGTGATCGGAAATGCTCCAGCCAACCAAGGACAAATTACAGGTAAGAACATTGAAATCCAACGTTTGAAGCTGATATATATATATATATATATATGATTAAAAAGCTATCCACAACCCATGCGCTGTTGTGAATTTCGGGTTGCTATCCTCCGTTTGCTCCACCTCAGTGATTCCGATTCTCACATTTTTTTCATTCGAATGTCAGCAGATGTCAGTTGATACGTGGTCCAGTTTTGCGCTTGTCCGTTTGTTGCGAACAGGTCACGTTTACAGCCTGCACCAAAGGTTTCAAGGCCAAACAATCAACCCCATCGCCTCGACTGGTCGAGTAGTTTTGTATTTTTTATGGCACAGCGTGCATACATGCGCGGGTGCTTGTGCACTGACCGTAATGGCCACTCTCTCAAAAGCAACGACGTACACCATTCTATTCACACTATTAGCTGAAAAAGTGCGCACTTAGAGCTTATGTGTACAGGGGTGATGGGATATTCGTTTGGTAATTCGAAACGATATCCGATTAAACAACCTGTTACAGCGGCTGTTGTAAACTTGTCGTCAAGCCATGGAACTCGCACTTTTAAAATTACAGTGTTTCGACACAGTTAAGTGTTCTAATCCATCATTCTGACCCAGAGTTCCATTCACCTGCACTTTCCAACCATGTGAAATTCTAGTCAGATGAATGTACGGTCGAGCGCAATGAACGGACTTCGCAGGTAGGCATATCAACTGCACGCTGCTGTTGCCATCGTGCCTTGGACGGAGAAACTTATGTTGTCGGCCGATACCACAGTGCTTTCAGCCTTGAATGGCAGTTGGTCGATGGTCCATCCACGCATTTTCGACAAAGCCGTCCAGCTCACTTTTTTCAGGGTGCAGTGATGACAGATCGTACATGCACCTTTGGCCATTAGTTTCGGCACACAGTAGCCAAAGTTGGAGAGGGTATTAGGAAAATACTGAAGTGCCTCGGTGTATTCTGAATACGATAGTTTAGGCTGGCCTTTAGTGAAGGAATGTGGCACAAATTCATGAGCATACGGGGGGCTGAGCACCCCAAATACATCGCTAATCAAAAGCATAGGTTCGAGAAAAACACGATGGATGATATTGTGAGCGGATGAACCAAGGTCGTCCGGTTTCAGTTAACGTGTTGAGTGTGATGTATCGGTTCTCTTTTCATTCGAAACGACAGAACAAGTTTTGGAAGTGAACGGAATACCTGACCAGACTAACACCAGGCAACAGAAGAGGACAGTACAGGTGAACAGTTCCATGCTGCTGACCTACTGGGAATAGTGGTGAGCTTCCAATTATGCGGTTTTTTAAAAACTGAGATCGTACACCTTGACTGCTGTAGTGATGTAAACGTCTTATTTACGGTTGGCCTAATAGATGCGGTTAACCATTCAACATAGTGTGTCTAGCAAAAGAAGCGATTGAGCAGAAATGCGTTTGGTACAAGTGTTCGAAACGGTTTCCACGGTGACTGCCAAGTTCCTTCCTTATCTGTGGGTGATTGTGCGTGAATTTCCAAAGTCGCATCCAAAGTATGACAAACAGTGAGTCAGTGTCAATTCCAAATGGAACCAATTTTTTACCCGTGAATGCATGGGACCAGTCGCTGTTAAAGGATACAGAAACTGAACACGGCTTACAAAATTGCGAGGTCAGTATGGGAATGAGGGTACTGATAGCAAAGGGTCAAAAAATGACCTAAAATACATGAAGGGCGTCTCTTTTCACCAGATCATTTTAACTAACTAGAATGCTCGATTTTCGTCTTGTTGAATTAGGAACCTATTCGGAGTGACAACTGTAGTTTCTGTGCATCAGTAAACGTTGAATAACATTACAGCTGCATCAAGCTCCAAAACTAAAAAAAATCTCAGCTCAGTTTATAGTTTGATCGGAAGACATGTGGAAGCAATCGACGATCTTACAGTGTTCATTCAGTTAACATAAAGTCCTGTTAATGTGCCTTCGCCCACATTGCACTGATGTGTCTCCTCGGATTGTGATGAAACGTTTGTAACCAAACTGTCCAGCTCAGTAAGCACGTCAACAACCATCACAGAAATATATCATTCGGGAGACAGTCCAGGAACAGCCCACACTGCGTGTACATGTGTCTTCTAAGGCTATTTTGCGATTAACTACTACAGTGCTGTTCCCGTGTGATGAGCCTCCAAGAAAGTAATACTCTTAGGAAATCCAACGCCTTAGTTACTTGAAAGTGTTTAACGACAGAAAACAGGCAAAACAGAATGAAAAAACACTCCCCGATTTCTTGAAGTGATGGAAAAGTGCTGAACTACGTTTATTGACTCATTGACAGAAGAGTAACAACCGAATGCACAATGCCATACATTTGTGTATGTCTTGTAAAAGCTCCGAGTCGTATTCCTACTGCCTTATGCAACACTGAAATAAAGTTACTTAAGAGAGCAATCATTATTCCTCGAGTTAGTAACATCATCAGCAATGATTAGATGTCAATTATTCAAATCGTGCCTGGATGACATCTCAGATGGATTAGTGGGTGGGCTTACTGATTCTTCCTCAGAACTGTTAAGAAGTGAGTTCGGGCCACCGCCACTGGTGGCGCAAAGGCGAATTATGGAGCAGGTGAACTTCGATAGGTCTGTGGAGGATACCAAAAGGAATCGTCGACTGTTTGAGCTGTGTGCAAACTATCTAACACGCGGAGCTCCATCAGTTCATTTTGTCAACAACGCCGAACTATCCAAGTCAGCTAACATTTCATTGGTCTTCACCAGTCACCAAACACGAGCAACGACAGTGGTATGGTGAATGCGATTGCGATAACTTATTTATGTGCGTTAAACTATTACTCCGAAAACTGTCCGTCTTTTCTCCCCCTACCGGGCTTGAACTTTTCTCTTCCAGTGACGTAGATTTGAAGCCAAAAGAGTCACAGAATGCGCCCACCAATGTGTAGTTGGAAACCCGACAACAACGGTCATGGGGTAAAATGAAAACTGGTCCAAAACAGGAAAATTTGGCGAATCTCCCAAGGAGCAAAAGACAAACTTGGATGGAAGAGGCACTTATGCGGCAAAAAGAATGGAACCTTTTCTTACTGTTGAACCACTACAGTTATATTTGGATCTGCAGTTGGTGATGACATTGATGGGAATCAAAACTGCCAAAATCCAACTGCGAGTTCCAAAGCGAAAGTCAGAACACGAAGATAACAATCATGAATCAACTAGATTCTAGCGCACCAATTCCTCGACCTTGTTTCGAGTTCATAAAACAAGCTGTAGGTGGTTGGGGACTTTGTAGAAGTTGCGTCCACTACTCAACAGTCCCTCTCCTGTCCTGGAGAAAGTAACCTAAAGGGTTCGAACTAAAGAACGTATTAGAGCTCACCAGTAACGCACATTCTTGGAGAGGCCGTGACTTGAACCTCAGAGATTTGACATTAGAGATGAGCCTCTTATCACCACTCAACCGACGTATTCGCAAAGTAACTCGTCGAACGATTACCCATAACTGCCCTGTTTGTGTCGGTCGATCAACGCGCTTACCAAGCTTCCCAATCGGGTCACGCAGTGAACCCTTGAAACCTTCTGGGCAGTGTAAATGGTCTCACTCCTGTTTAAACGAGAATGGTGTTAATGCGTATACTCATAAGGATGAAACACATATAGATCTTCGAAATTAGACCAAATGAGACAAAAGGCAGTCCTTGCGCTATACATTTGGCAAAAAATGCCACGAACGTTGACACCATATCATTTTGCTTATAGCGACATATTTGACCATCGGATTCCAGTTACCGAGACAAGTCGTATACCCATCTGCTTCCTCCCTTTTTAGTACAGACAAAGTTGTGGTATCAAAGTCCACCGGCCCTAGTACAAGTGAACTTAATGGTGTGAAATTTGGGGTGTGGAAGGAGCAAACTCTGGCGTAAATGCTTATGGTACGCCCCACCCAGAAGCTTACTAGATTTGTAATTATCTGTAAAATCACCGGAAGCTGACAGTTACCTAAGATGCTTGCTAACAACCTGCCGGGATGAAGAGTGGGAAATATGCGACGACCACACAGGGTCACGTGGCTACCCCACCAATGATCAAGCAGAGTAGAAAATACCCATCAACCTAGAGGAAGAACAAAAAGACCCATAGGCAGAGCCCAAACCAACTGTAAGTTAGTGACAGACGGACCCAACCACCATTGCGCCATTGCATACCCGCATCGGCCTGTCTGTGTGTGTTTGCGTGTGTTGCCATCTATAGCCAATACAATCACAGATACTGAAAGCTGCATGCTGATTGGTTGACTCACATTTAATCCGACAGGACGACAAGAGCAGAGCCCCTCATGACTTGTTGGTTATTGGTCGATCCAAGGTCCCGCTGGCATGACCACAACTGACGCATTTGAACGCGACTGGCTGAAGTTCTTCACCCCCTTAACCTAGAGACGAGAAAAGCTGAGGCTTACTTCAGAGGGGACAGACAGTAGCTTACGCTGTCAGAACACGCATCGTGTTTTGTCTACGTGTTCTGAGTCGCACTGTGGATGATACTTGGATGCTAACTGGACTATCAATGGCGTATTGTGATCTTTAAATATATATCAAAGGATTACATGTGGATTATGCACTGATGGAAAAGTCTCGGTCTCGAAAGTCGGATGTGTATCGCGTTGAGAGGCTAGTAGCAAAACGACAGAATGGCGTAAGTCCAAACATGAAGCTTTCATTGAACGTAGGGAATGTTTGCTGTACGAGCAGGGTACTATAACTAAGTACATCAGCTAATCACTTTGGAGCCATCAATTTGGGACCTGATGTCGCTGTATGTATAGTGACTCACGTCTGCTTCTAATGCGTGCACACGGTATCAGGATGGAAGCAGGCAGTCAATTTCAAGTTGCTTCTCACTGGATTATTGAACCTGGATGATCGAATCAATAGTCTACTGTCTCAGCTACCGAACTATGCGGGTTGTGTCTTGCCTTTCAACCTTCGCTGGCTCCTTGTTGCAAAATAATCACTGCTGGCTTAGTCGTCAGAAATGTTAGCGATGCGGAACCGTTGGTCATTGACCTGCTTGCCGACATTAAAGATATTAAGCTATGAAAACCAGAAAATTACAGATAATTAGAAATACCGTAACAATGTTTACCTATACCGTGAGCCTTCCGGTTGCTTCAGATTGTCCAAAAATAATCTCAAGTTAACTAACCGATACTCTAACCTAAGCTTTACTTCAAAACACATCAATTAGTCAAGAATGCTGTTCTGTCACCTCAACCCGTGCATCTACTGGGAGTTGAAATCTTAGGTGAACCGGATCACTGGTGTTATACAGATACAAAATGGGGATATTTTAAAAAGGCTCGCATATTTAAACATACGTCTCCGTCAGCCTACACTTTTCTGTTCCCTTGCATTATGTCTTTGATGAGATTTTGCCTAACAACGGGTTCATCGGAATACTTTATTGAATGATGAGCTCGAAGTCATCTTAGGAGGAAATTCAAATTAAGCCGGATACCGATGACAGAATTGTGAAGAATGCCTAGGTGACTAAGTGTCACGAATCATTACTTGGCTCAATTCAGATCTTCAGTTACTGGGATGTGATTACTAAATGGAACCCCGGAATATCCACAATAGTCCGACGAATCAATACTTCGAAGTGGGACGTTCTCTGCACACGACTGCCGCGGTCACGTACCGTTCTTTCGGTCTACCACATGACTATCCTCTTGTAACTAGGACTACAAAAGATATGCGAAAAACGCACATACTGTCGGAGCACTTGGTATCAACTTCAGCTCCGAACTGTTTTAGTGAAATGACCACCACTGAGAGAACGACGGAGTTTAGCTTATTCAAGGACCTGAAAATGTTTGAATTGCAGCATGTCTATCCAGATAAATCTAACGATGCGTTGAAAGCTCTCATCTCAATCCCTCCATGTGAAACACGCACACTAGTTTTTATGAAAACGATTCGTTAAGTTTGGGGATGACCACTTCGGCTCTTATGTACGAAGTATACCTTCGTTTCTACCTCTCAGTGGCAACACTATCTACATCATCGCTGCTTTTTACTGACCGTAGGAAAGCCAATAGTAATGTATGTAGACATAACGCTATGCAGAATAAAACAATTTGACTACGTACCATCGTTGGAATGCTGTATACTCGGTTTCTTTTTTGTTTCAGAGGCGTGTGGAGTACCTGGTAAAGTGGAAAAATTGGTCAGAAATGTGAGTTTCCACATACCTCTCGAGGAGTTTCATTTTGTGTGGGTGTTGCTAGTTGTTCTTGCTGCTCTGCAGTGCCTTGTTTCAGATTCGAAGCTGATGCCGTTCGTCTGCGTTTTTGGTTTGATCCAGCTGCAGTCAGTGACATCCAACAGCCAGGCGTTACAGCCGTGCTTACGACAGCCTGCATTCTCCGCTTGGCCGTGTGACCGATCGATGCTCGATGCTGATTGGTCCACTGAACTATGCATTGATCCGTTCTCGCCTACCCTAGCTGCGTTTGTCGAGCTAAAGGAGCAGGCTGCTGCGCGCTTGGCGTGTTTTGTTCACATGGTTCGGGCGCAATCAATGCAGTGCTTGAGGTTCTAGTTTAGACTAGTTTTACACAATTAGAGGAGGATGCATCCGTTATACATCCATGCATTCTAGCGCCCATCTTTACGCATGTTTTATTCGCGAGAGAAGACAGCCAAACCAAGCAAACCATCCTCTATCGTATCGCAAGGCTGCTTCTCAGCATCTTTTCCCTTCAACTTAGTCATTGGTATGCTGAGTAAATCTCCACTACCTGTCACTTAATAGCTCGAGTGCTCATTCCGTACATTCATTAGTTGGCTGTGTTTGTATCACATATTCAAAGGTGCAAATCATTTTGAGTTTCTGACTCACCTGCTCGGTTCGGTACTGTGTGCGACGAGTCAGGCCATTGTTATGTCAATTTACCTACCGAACAGCCGTATAAATCCCGAGAGAGTGGGTGCAGACGCAAACGATAAGATTTTAGCTCACTTCTTTGATGCTGGCGTACCATCAATTTGTCATGAGGGATCCATACTGCTTCGCGGATCAAAAACGTAGCGTGTGTGTAGAGGAGACGTGCGATGGTGTTCAGTATTTAAGTACCGGTATTCACTAATGTCTTGTTGATGATGTAGTTCGACTATATGTTTAGAAGGTTGCTCGGACCTGGTGAAACGCTGGTTCAGTCGTGCATAGTCACATGGCTTTTAGGAGTAATATATTACGGGAGACAAGCTGGCCATATTCTTCGCATCTCAGTTAAACATCTGTTTGCCAAACCGCTTTACACATCGCACACAATCTAACAGGAGACTTGACGGCTTTTCAATGCGGTAAAGTCATGCCAGTTAATCTGGAGAAAGTCGTATGTGGTGGAGATAAAAATGAGACAGGAAGGGGACCTAGGGCTAGTCTATCACGAACACCCAAGGTGCCTACACTTCCGATGATCAGTTAGACGTTCTGGATAGCCGCTATAGCTGTGTGTCCAGTCGAACACAGGGAAGGTCACATGGACCCAATCCTAGAACGGAAGACCACCAATACTTTTTGTAAAATTCTTTCTTCACCTTCCGTCATGTCAAGTCTGTCCAGCTCTAGGTTACTGCCACTCCGATGTAGGCACGAGAAACAGCGCTTGTCTGGGCAGGAGTATTTCAATATACTTAACACTTTGGCAGCCCCCTTAGGTTGCAATGCTGGATGCGTTCTTTGAGGCAAGTACCCTTTGCTTCACCAAAACACGTTTCTTGATCACTTCATGTGGCGGTCACCGCTGATCGTTTGTTAGAAGAGCTGAATGATTTGGTTGCAAGCGTTTCATTACCAGTCGGTGTGACATCCTCAGCGCGTTGCAAGTGAAAGTATGTTGAGTCTGAAACGAGCCAACGGCCATCAATCCAGCCTGAGCTACCAATATTCCCTTCGATTACTAATTCGCTGGTTTCAACCGACTACAACCATAATCATGGGACATCGGTGGTAAAAGGCCAGAAGATGTCTCGAATCCACCGCCTGATGTGCCAAGTGTCGCAGTCGTACAACAATACAGCCCACACTGTAGCCCGATTCACGTGTCCTGAGATCCACCGGTGTACCTCAGCAAAAGCAATTTTGGCTTCTGCGATTCGTGCATTGACGTCGTTTGTCTCACTACCGTCAGAGCTAATGCAACTTCCGAGACACGTATATCCTTATAAAACTTTTAGTGTCACTTTGTAGTCTTGGGGGCAACCGGACTGTACACTGTGGGCTAGAAACACATACCGAAGGACCGGATGGCCTTTATTAATTTTTCTACTACTGTTTGCTCTAGGTACGGAAACCTTGACATAACACGTTTTGTAAACCCAACTCTCGTTATGTTGGCAATCGCACACACGAACTTTTGACTCTTTCTCCTTCAGAAATAATACATGGGAGCCGGAGAAGAACATTCTTGACAAACGACTGATTGAATCCTATTTGCGGAGGTGAGTGTCGCGGTTCGATAGAAACCGTTTGGTTTGATAATATCGTCCCCGAATTAGCATCTATCCTTTTGTGGTCACAGCCAACTGCCAAATATCTTCTCTAGATTATCTCATACACAATTTCACCAACCTCTTAATTTGACTGTGTAACACTGTCTGATAGTCGTGCAAATCGGCGATATCCTCTTTCTACTCATGTCGAAATACACTCTCCACGAATCACGATATCCTAGAGGGAGTGGAGTTGTTATGGTATCCGGTGCAATTGGATTGAATATCTATTTCAGGTTAGGGCTTTTTTGATACAGGAGTAGCACTGTCGAAAATCGATCGATGAAGAGACTAAAACTAAGCAAATAAATGATAGAACCAATCGTGAGCAGTTGGAAACATTGATGGACGGTTTACACACCCTTTTCAAGTTCACTTGACTTGATCCACGTGGTGAGGTTTCGATTGCTGTATCAGTGCATAGCATCTACTGGTAAAAATAATCGTCCATTCCGACGCGTAGCTATTTTACAACTGAAAGCAAGCCAGATTGTCCAAATAGGAACAATGGAAGGCGAATCTTGGGTTCGAACGACAGACCTCCAGATCAGTAGCTTCGCACCTTAACGGTCGAACTATCTCAATCTCATAATGTAGCCATTCCCTGGACTCCATAAATTCATCGGCTGTACGTGGTCTGTAACCATTCCGGGGAACTCTACAGTGTTCAGCCTTTAATTTCCCTGTGCTTGATCGGTTTTCGAAGCAACGAATGGTCTGTTGTATCCTACTCACTGTCTTTGCATGGATTACTCATCTAGCTTGGCTAGATGTATGGGCCTAGCGCATCGTTCGCATTAGGTAACTGCGATCACACTCGACTCTATGCATCTGTGATACGTGCGTTTAAAGGTGTTTGTGCTTCCGACAATCAGGAACCTGGCACGGATTTTCAACTTCAATTCAGGTGGTGAAAAGTGTATTCATCGCACATTGGCCCTAGTACGTTCGTTTGTGTCTACGGGAGAGAGAATACAACCTTCATAACACCAGTTAGCTGAATGTGTAAGGTATGTGTGGCTTCGGTCCACTACAAGCCAGTGGCCCTAGTATGTTCGTTTGTGTGTACGGGAGAGAGAATTCAACCTTCACAACACCAGTTAGCTGAATGTGTAGAGTATGTGTGGCTTCGGTCCACTACAAGCCAAAATTTCACTGGTTCCAAACACTGCAGTCTCGATCACCGAAAGTGTGGGACCATTGAAGACGTAGCCAAGCATTGGAGTTGATGGTCTAGTCAGTGAATTGAGATTGGATCATCCTAGTCACTTGCGGAAGCAGTAAATCGGGCAGCTTCGATGGTGGCGCACCACTGACTTCCTGGTTGAAGTGTGTTTGTTAAAGTCGTCAAACATTGATTCATCGGATCCCTGGGGTACCCATCCAAGGAGTTGTTGGAGTGGGGTTTTTTCATAATTCTTTGCCAGGATCTTGACTACCGGGCTCTCTGTGGATTCCACCCCACTAGGTTTGAGCATAAACAGCCCGACGAGGTCGATAGTCCTATGACATGCGACTTACGTGCTATAACCAGCGTGATAATTAAAAAACACCGTTTGATCGGCCAGTTGTGGATCGTTTCGCAAAGACACTTCAAATAGGTTTTCTCATGATCCCTTCAGTGTGGAATAGTCTCTAGTAAGCAGTAGAAAACAAGCTATCGAAAAAATGCACCTAGACTGCCCAACCACATGAACATGAGCAGCATGATTGCGCAAGATTCGAATCAGTGCCCGACCCCGTCCCTTAATTGGCCGCTTCCCCGATGGCCTCTCACGACGGTACTGTACAAGGCAACGCGAACTTTCAAGTAGCGAAGCGAACCTGTTATCGTACCCTGCGTTTTTTAGTCGTGCCGCCTAATTGCACTTTCTGATTTTGGGGCGAGATGGCTCAAGTGGTTAGAGCGCGAATTTAGTGACCGGAAGATCCGTGGTTCGAACCCGACTTCCGCCTCTCGACTTCCCCTGTCTAGGCTCGGGCAACCTGGCAGTATCCCAGCCCTCGTGCTTCCTTCGGGTGGCATGGCAGCTAGGCACCGGAATGGTGTTACAGCTGAGCGTTTACTTTCTGATTTAAGGCTATATTATTGTAACGGGTACCCGACGGTTAGTACCCAGTCTCCCATAGAACACCTCTGCGCGTGATAAATATGTGGGTCGTAAGGCACACATGCCCCTGTCTTTCACCGTCCACGCAATCGCTCGAACCCCGATACCGAGAAACTCTGACCAGCACTACTGCTAAACGAAGCGGATGGAGCATGTGCACGACTTATTTGCACAGCAACGTAGCATGAACGGAAAATCTAAGCAAGTTCCGAATGAGTTTCTTGTTCCCGAACAATAACTGAATTGAGGTCGAAGTAGAATTCAAGTGACACGAAAGACTGATTGATATTCAGGACGAAGCGGGCAGTATGTTGTCCGGTCGTCTGACTATACCACCACACAGTTAGCACTAGCTAACTTAACTTAAACCGACAGAGCAATTACAACTAGTGATGCACCACTTTTTCCTTCATGTAGCGAGAAAAGGAAACAACGCCGCAAATTCGCCGCCACCTCCGGTAAAGAAGGAGCAGCATCGAAGAAAGAGGTCTGTCCGACTGAAAACGTCCCGTCATCCTGTACCGATTCCAAACATCCGCTGACCTTGTCTGTTGCTCATGTCGCGAGCCCAAGCACCGCCTCTGGTCCCCATTCCCACCTGACGAATTCAAAGACTTCCCAATCCTCTCCATCACCCGCATCTCCCATACTTTCAACCCAGCACTCTCCTGAGGTTGATACACAGCTCACTACCCAATGTGCTGCCTTGTGTTCGAAATCTCCCGCGTCACCCTCACATCAGACCTCTTCAGGCATTACCAGCTGGGATTCCGTAAACTGGTTACCCGAACGTCGGTTTCGTCCAAGTACACTAATGGTTGCCGCTGCTTCCGCTTCCGCAGCAAATGCTGCAGCTGCGTTGGCAAGTTCTCGAACAACTGGAAAGCAGTTGTCTTCTCCATCATCGACTGGATCGGCTGGATCAGTGAGCATTGCTGTCCGTCAGGTGAGTGCCAAAAGATGTCAGACCGTTTACTACCTTCACGATTAATCTTGTTGTTTTCTGTGACCCACAGTGTTGGGTGACCCAATAAACTCTGAAGAGAATCGTCCGAAATCTAAATTCTATGGTTTGATTATAAGAGTACCATCGAATGCAAGCTGAACAGACCTCCGTTCATCCCTGGAAGAATTGAACCGAAACGAACTATGTACATTGGTATAGCGAGCATATGGATAACCTAATCACCAAACTACTTCACTGTCGGCTGGGGCGTATTATGTTGGTTCACAGTTTCATCTTGCCGCGATATAAGGTCTTGGTTACCACAAAAGAGATCTGGGTGATAATGTAATCTGCAGTTGGTTGTGCTCGTATAAAACTGAAACCTATCTTGCATGTTATCGTCATAAAGTTTAAGCTGTCCACACAGCGGAGACATTCCAAGCCATCTAATGCACCTTTACCTAATAGCAAACGTTCACCCAACCCTCCCGATCGGTGCTGTCGATGATCCATGGATCCGCTCAAAACACGGGCATTTCACCTTTGCTTCCTGACGAATCTGCCCTTTGGACAGTTATGTGAAACTGGTTAAGCATTATGCTTTGTTTCGCATGAATATACAGGCACTTTTGTAGTTAGTTGTCAATAATCCTAGAATATTTCATCTCTCTATTGAGCGGTACACATGTTACTGTATGACGCATAATTGCTTCGGTTTTGACGTTCCGATTGTAACTTCTCACGTAGCATTGCAGTGCATGCGTGGTATCCGGCAGGTATATCACGTGTAGTAGTTACCTATCAGGAGCGTCTCAATATGCTGTGGCCTGTGAAGCACAATGAACAGTCAACCGTTTTGGAGAACAGGCGCACACTGCCCTCAAATTCGTCAACATGCGAACATGTAGGGTTTTCAGACATTATGTGGTTTTTGACGAATGGAAGACAGCGAATTTCTTTCGTTTTCTGTCACACCACAACATTGACTTTGAGCGAACACTTGCGGTCATCCGTATGCTGTGTTTTTTCCAATTGTGGCAATTTGTTCTTGAATGGATCGGCTTCGAGGACATATGATGGTCTTTACGTTGTAGCAATTTTTCGGCGTCTAGGTACCAAACCACCCGAAGTAAGCACGAAGGCTGAGATACTACTAGGTCACCCAGGCCTAGTCAGGAGCAGTCGAGATGTCTGGATTGAGTTCGAACCATGGACCTTCCAGTCAGTAGTTTCGCGTCCTAACCACTGAGCAATCTCGGGCTCCCATAGACCTCTGGTGTAAATGCTGCCCAGGAGCGGCAATAGGCAGCTAGATGTCCGCTGGTGGCGACCCAGTACTGAGTCAAGTGACCTGCATCCTAGCCTACATGGAGTGGTGGCTGCATGCTTAGAATGTTATATGTTTCCTAATCTATCCGTTATTCTCGTGCAACAGCCACTCGAAGTAACAGCTCACTGAAGGAGCTAAGATATACTTATCAAGCTTCTGGATATCGTTTCTGGACGCTTTTCGAATGCCCTCTCAGATCCCCAATAGTTGGTAATATCCGGTATCCAACCGGAGTATCTCCCTCGATGTGTGCCATCCATTAAACCAAATCTGAGCGGTTCTTTGTGAGAGTTACTTATTTGGGAAAGGTTATCGTATACGGTACCAATGGAGGCTGTTTCGCAGCTGACGAAATTGTTGAACGTCCGAGTTCGTGTACTTCATTGGTTACTGTTCAGCCTGAAACACCCTGGACCGATCATGTCTCCAGTTCCTAGCTCTCCGCAACACACACTGTTGAATATGCAAGAAGGCTTCTCGTGGTCGCCCTGCGGAAGCAAATTGTTGCTGGACAAACCATACGCATCTCTTCAAGCCTTTAGTTTATTTATTCCGTACAGATGCAACAAAGTACACTCAATGTGTCATGCAAACGTTCATTTTAGGTAGTCCAACAGGTTTGAGGTTGTGGTAGAAGTACTCCGTACTTGAATTAGACCCCCACACTTTAGGTTGCCTGAAATATTGTACGCTTTATTCACTATTTTCCTGACCAACATACTGCTCTGCACAGATCTACACGCAAATACAGCTTCGCAAAGGTAGTTCATTCGGTTGTCTCTCGGTCGAAATCACTTATCCGAAAGGATCACTGAAGGAGCTTGCGAACACAGTGCGTTCGGTGACGGGTCGATACTTTAAACCCGGGAATGAGGTGTAGCTTGTGTTGTTTTGCTCATTTTGAGCCAAAAGTCGGTTAAGGCCACCACATAAATCAGAGCGCATCGTTGTTACGTCATTGTTCTGGCTTGCAAGACGTTCCTGACGGGATTACAGTCAACGGTGCGAAGCATCGTGGCGGTAACACACGTATGTGTGTAACTATATGCAACGATTTGTTCGTTCAATGTTAACTTTTACAGATGAATCGGATTTCGCACGCACTGCTCACTTGCACTGATAATCGTCTCCATAATCCTTGTCAAATTCAACCCTTTTATCGCAGAAAGCACTTGAGAGAGATGATTTATCGGACTCCTAAAAACTGTTCTCTTCCGTGTCCATTGATTCGTCTACTAGAGTGGACATCCTCCGTCGTTTTTTTCAAGCATCATAAATCAATAGCATATCAGGAAGAATCTTCGGATGAATGCCCATGCTACTGTAAAGCAGACAATTTTCTTGGGAACTGATGAATCGTCCCTGATTTCACACAGTAGTGAACTTTTGATTACCCAGTCGTGAAGCTTCAGTGCCTCTGAGAGACTTTCAGCGGGTAGACGCTTTGAGGGAAACATTTTTTGCAGTTCACTATTTTCCAGAAAACTCTGCCTGCAGGAAGCACTAGCTGCACGGGTTAGCACTTAGACAGCAACATCGTGTGGGTGGGTGTTGGTTTCATTTAGCTTCATTTTTCTAGCAAGATTCTATGATGAACCGATGCCTCGAAGTTATGACTAGTTTAACTGCTCCCGATTAGTGGCTCGTACAAAGATGGAGCACTGTACTCATCTGGTCCCAGGAGTTGAGCCACCTCTGGTTTGACCTTGCCTTATTCTTCGAAGCCTACAGTTCAGTAACATCCAACTGTGCTGTTTAAGGTATTAGATTACCTCGCTTGTGGTATGAACTGCTTCGTATGTGTAGGCATGTAACATCGCACACTCACGCAATTCCCGGCATCATTGATTTGGCTTGTTGTAGTACAAAGCTTAAGGTCTCAAGTGTGAGGACCAAGTGTTCCGCATTTGGTACTAGGTAGGGTGTATGTCTCGGCAACCGATGCCAGGGCCAAACAACCAGGCGTGTGTGCGAAACAAACCAAGGAAAAAAGTCAGAATTTACTGCGGTGGTTTCGGAGATTCTTTCGTTCATGACCCGGTTTTGTCCCAACGTGATCCTTCTAGTTTTAAGCACCATCGTTGATGTTAGTGGTGATTAATGCTCCCCGATTATCAGAAGTCTGTCTCAATACTTCGCTGCCACTGACCCCCCGATCGTCCAATTACGCTGGGAACATAAAAAATCTATTCTCCTGAATCTATACTCGTCACGTGTGCTTACTGTTACACTTGTCATTGCCACTATTGGTTGGTCTGTACGACCTTGCCAGCATCGGCAACATTCACACAGGCGACTGGTCACGTGGTCCGCAAGATATCCCGCTGCGTGACTCGGGGGTGGTGAGACACTAACATAATGCTAACAAAATCGATAAACATTTGACGAATTGCTGTCACTAGTAAATGAGTGGCGCTGCGAGAACCATCATCTTTTAGTCGGCATCCGTCGCTCACGGTTAGCAGGCTCTTACCAGCGGACGTCAGGTCAACAAATAAACCTCACCAAATTTCACTCCAAGACTCGCGGTGAGCTTGAAATACCCCATTAGTAGACCCTGAGGATTGTCGGCTAACAACCAAACTTTGCCAAACGGTTTCAGCAATTTCTTCAGTTTAACATCAGCTCGGTTAGATATGTTCCCTTATGATGCTAGTTTGCTACTTCCTGACTAGGAATTGTTCGAATATCAAAATAGCCTTTTTGCCTCATATCTCGTTCCAGATGACAACGACAGGCGAACTAGCTGTCTCCGCCGAACAACCAGACCATCCTCCCAGCACCCCGACCGCATTAGTTACGCTTAGTGAAGACCGTCCAAAGATCCGCATCACTATCCCTCGAGACCGCATCCTCCCGTGTCCTCCACCCGGTGTATCCAGTAACAGTTCGTCCAGCAGTCAGAATTCTTCACAGCTTACGGCTAGTTCATCCTCTATCGTCGCGGAAGATGAGCTGGGTCAAGCTAGTTTCATTAGTGATACTGAGCAACATTCCAGCACTTTTCTAGCCCCTACTGAGCTTCCAAGGCGAGCACCTTCCAACAGCTCTCCCACTTCAGTTATCAGCCTCCGTACCCCAGACTTGTTAATCAATCCCAGCATATCAGCTTCCGCTCCATCGTCCCCAAAATGGAATATTCGAACAAAAGAGATCAACTCACCGCCAGCCGCCTTACCCAAGTTTGTGCTGCACACTCCTTCACTTGATCCTACGATTTATAGAAAGCGCCAATGTGAGGCCTCCATATCTTCCACATTAGGAGATTACCCCACTCCTCAACAGCAGCATCAACAACAGCAGTCAACGAAAAAACGGAAACATTGCGAAAAGAAAGAAAAACGAAAGCGACGTAGAGATCATGATCCCTCGTCACCTTATTCCCGCTCGAGGAGCGAGGTTGATGCTGACTTTGCTGAACACGCACCTGGGTATCCACTCAACGGCGTTAAGATACGACGTCGTTCCGGTTCGACTACATCCAGTCTATCCTCCGAGAGTTGTCTTCCAACGAGTCCGAAATCGGTTGATGAGGCTCCGAGGTTAGCTCCACTGAGAATTCAACTACCTCGTCCACTCACTGTACATCCTGTAGCAGACCAAGAGCGGCAACCGTCTTCTTTGGGCAAAAAGCTCCCGGCGTTTTTAGTGTCACCTAGAGGCAACCAGTTACGTGAATCTGGATTCGGCAACTCTCCTCTAGACAAAGCCAAACTTAAAAACGTTTTGTCCCCCGATTCGAAACGTTTACGTCTTGTTCAGGAGATTTGTGTTACTGATGTGACTGTTGGCGGCTTGACAATCAGCATCAAAGAATGTTCTGGTCCAGAAAACTTTTTCGGTGTACCTTCAAATCAGCTTGTACAGTGGGATTCCTCCCAAGTTGAAAACCAACCTTCGTGGCCGTCCTTAGGTTACAAAAGTCCCCCGAATGTTGTACCTGCCCCTTGTCTAATATCCCGAAATTCTAAAGTACTTTCTTCGTATGCCAATGATGGAGCAACCGGTTGTGCGGATGAAAATGTTGCTCCAAACTCGATGTTTGAAGTTTCTACGGATCCGCGCGCATCACAAGTACTGGCAACTCCGGATGTTCGGGAGTTAAGCACCATAACTGAAGAATCCACCATAACTAACTCTTCTTTGAGTACCAAACCGTCTCCCACTCCGCTGTTCAGCTCCTCATTTCCTAAATTAGAAGAAACCACTGAAGACACTAATCAGGATAAACCTCCTGCTTCTTCGCTCGAACTGCCTGTAGTAACTAAATCCGAACCTAACTCCGCGGTTGACATTGAACCGTCCAGTTCCACGTCTGTTTTGCTTTTGGAAGCCACAGAGGCGGCCGTTAGGAGTGCTGCTGAGGCTCCAAGTTCCCCCGGTCTCCTTTTACCCCCACGGCGCTCATCCACTCCGATCGACCGATCACCCGCTTCCCCTATTCGGCCATGGACACCTGTCGGGTCTGGTTCTTCGGCTACCTCGTCTCCTCCTAAGATTGTGTTCACACCCATTTCCACATGCACAAATCCCGCTTCAGCCTGTTCGGTGACACCAGCTATTGGAAGTGGTACCCTCAATTCGAGGCTCAAAATTGTGAAACCAACAGTCCCAAACACAGTCAAACCTGTGACATCACAGTCCAACCAGATATGTCGCCTCGCTACCTCATCTAGTAGTCGCTTGTCGTTTTCGTCAGAAACTTCCCGCAAACCACAAAAAACGAAGCAGTTCTCCAGATTTTCCGCAAATCCGCTACCGAGTCGTTCTGGTGGCCACCGAGCTCCCAAATCCACGTCTCTATATTTACCTAGCACCAGCAATGATCCTGCCAGTGTATACACATTTCCCGACTCTTCCCCGACACACAACCTATCCCCCCGATCCAGCACTACCCGCTTCCCCACGACTGTGCTCCCAAAGCCCACTCGAAGACCACAAGCACAACCGTTCACTTCCGGTACATTTGATGGTTTGAGAACTCCAGAAAGCTTGCCTAATGTTGCAGTTTCTTTTCCTTCGTTGATGGCTGAGTCTCTTGTTGGATCTATGGGAATTCCGTGCACAAGTCTATCCGGTTCGAACTCAACCAATCTATCGAATTCTCATAAATCTTCCAATGGTCAGACAGTTACCACCCTTGCTAGTGACTTATCACTGTATCTCCCACAACCCTCACTTCCTGTTTTCTATAGTGATCCAACTGGAACGAATAGCATGGCGGCGGTTGGTTCGTTTCCAGTTTCAGGTACAACCTTTGTTAGTCAACCATCATTGTCTGCTCATCCCAGTTGGCAATCTTTACTACCCAACTCACTCACATCTCTCATCCCTTCTGGATTAATGCCAACCGACTCCTCATTGTTGGCCTCCTTGGGACCATTTCCTCTACCTGCAGTTACGACGAGCGATTTTTCCACCCAGTTACAATTGGCCAGTCTCATGGCGGTCGCTGTTGGAAATGGTTCTGCATTTACCACAACAAGTGGTCCAGAATATTTCCCCGTCCCGAATCCTATTCTGTCCTCAATTCCTGACGAAGGTCCCATGGATTTATCGGCTAAACGGTGACATTGCCTCGTACTCTGTGCACAGTCATCCAATCACACCTGCGTGCTTTCATACTTTCCATGTTGTATTTTACCGTACCATCAACTTTCCACCCCCCCCCCCCCCCGAAATACCATAACATCCACCGTCTTTCCCTTCATTTTATTATATTACACTTCGATCCCATTTCTTGTTGTGAACTTTCGTCTATTCACTTAAAAGTTGGGCTACATGTATAAACTTCTCTCGGTACATATTTTTTCAGATTTCCAGATCTATCAAACACCGACCACCAAAGCACATCGTCCCATATCTGGACTGGGATTCGAGAATCCGACTCCTCTGCCCGTGTACACAACTTATACCCAAACCACTCTGCGCATAATTTTTACTGCATTTGTTCCTTGGCACCCATCTGATTCCATCCCATACAATATCATCTGAACTGAAAGTGTGTTCTGATTCATTTGCCTTCAGATGGTTTCAGGCTAAAACGGCAGAACAGTACTCGAGGAGAAGACGTGTAATTAGCGATCCATTTTTACGCAATCAGATCGAGGTGTGAAGTGGAAGAAAGCAAATGCTTCTGGTCTCGACAAATACACTCATGCGCATATCAGCTTGGTTTTGCTGAGTGACTCAACTGGAACCCAGCTGAATCTCTCAGTTACGGTGTTCTTCAACTGAATGTGCTCATGTTTGACTTGGTGCGATGTTCGAGAAATCGCGCTACATGTATAGATGTAACTCGAGAGTCTTTAGCAACCTTATGAGTAGTATGTTACGTCTATGTATGCTTCAGCTGTGTTTTGACGCGAAGTTGCCGACGCCCGTGCCTGCAACATTCATCTCCTTGACACTGAGTTGGGCACATCTTAGTCACATCGACTGGCCGTGATCATAGCAAACCTACTTGATTCCAATGTAAACTAAAACCAAGTGTTAATGCCCGAGTGTGTCGTGATTGGTTTCATGTAGCAAATTTTGATGAGGATGGCCGTAATTGTGATAATAGATAAGTTATGTTTTCAATTATTACTCTGAGTCACCATAGGGTTTAATCGAAGTGCCGAAAAGGTTAGCTCACTGGCCAGCGTAGGTTCAAAGGTCGCATGGATTCCCTGCGGGTGAAAAGGTGTTTGTTCAGACAAACTCCGGTGGCTTCAGCAATGGATGTTAGACGGAACAGTGCATCTCGTGGTCCAAGTTGAGGTCATTATGGGTGAGCTAAGGGATGCTGTTTATGTAGGGTTTGATCGATCTTGACCTTGACACTCGAGCTGGCCTTCTTTCGTCCGTAGCTCGTCCAAGCGGGTTTATATCTCTATGGACGTACCACACTTGCGACTTTTCGACAGCCTGCGACCGGTTCCGCCCTTCTTCGGACTCATCAGGTGGGCTCAGATCCCGAGTTTCCGTTAACCGTATGTTCTACTTGAACCCAAGTTGCGCGCTTTACGGCCTGAAGCAATACATTCGGTACAAGCGGACCATCCTCATTGAGAGATCCAGCTGGGATTCACTTTAACCTTCCATAAAAACCAACTTAGTGTGCAAATGGGTGTCCTGTTATCAGTTCAGCAACGACCCATTAATACTGACACTTTTATTTCTGTTTTCGCAATGTTTCAAATGCGAGTCATCCAGGTTAGCTTAAACGTCACCTTGAGAAAATTCAGCACCCGCGCGATAAAACAAAATTATCGAAACTGTTGTACCGACCCATCCATATATACCTTTCGTCATTTTATTCCATGATCTACCATTTTGATGCCGATATCGAGATTTTACTGGACTTCTCCTCTGAGCTCTTCATAGGAAACTTCAGATAGTGATGAACACATTTGAGTATTTTTGGGTTTGGAAATCTATATCGGTGCTCTTCGAGACACTTGTCTAATCGTACATAACGTACCAATGGGGCCTAGTTACTACCTTCTTAACTTGCCTATGCATATTTTCGCCATATAAACTCCATTGTCATTCTGTCTTTCTGTTGGTAAATCTTATTACCGGAATGTCGTAGCATCTCTGCCACTGCACTTGGTAAAATTACACACGTAGTCTGTGGTTTCCGTACGGTGGCGAGTCATCTCTTTAGGCGTCATCACATGCGCCTGCTCGGACGTGACAGTTCATACAGGTCCAGTATTGGATGATGGGATACTGAGGGGCGAGATGGCCTAAGTGGTTAGTGCGCGAATTTACTGACAGGAGGGTCCGTGGTACGAACCAGACCTCCACTTCTTGACTTCCCCTGTCTAGGTTTGGGCAATCTGACAGTATCCCAGCCCTCGTGCAACCTTCGGCTGGCATGGCAGTTAGGCACCGAGAGGGTGCTACAGCTGAACAAACGATGGGATACTGATAGCGCAATTCGGATGTGCAGAGTTCCAAACGTGGCAAGACGTTGGATACGATGCACTGATGATGAACTCTAATAAGAGTGTAAGTTGAGCCTAGTGGTTCCCCCTTGGTGTGGGCTAACCTAAGTACTAGTGTCAGGACACGGGGAGGATTGTTCAATTAAAGTTCTACAAATCGCATAACTACCTAGCACTGAACGTATCAATGGTTGCTGAGTGGCGACTCAGATTGAAAGCGGACTTCAGGGAACCCATAAGTCCGGAGATCATTATACCAGTGAGACAAATGCCTTCAAAAGTGTTGTAAATGCTCCGCTTTTGGAAACTCTTTTCTTCACGTCTGTTTTGTCCCTCGTATTCTCAATCTTCGGATCAGTAAGTAACTGGTATGGCGGCTTCCACTACCGTGCAGTGTGTGCTATTGCATTCACAACGTTGAGTTTCCGATCACAAGTCACAGAAAACACATCTTGTTCGGTGCTCTTAATATTCTGGCGAATTCCGCACGGCCATACATCCTGGAACGTTTGCACTGCCAAATTCAAGGTGTCTGTCAAAAACCCATGCTTTATGCAATATTCCAATCCTGAACTTTGAAGGTGTTCAGTGGGATACTACGCTACCCCGCTCTACCTGACAGCTGTGTTTCAATCGAATAACCAGCACCACAAATTTTGTCTCCCTTCTAGACGGAATCTTATCCTAGTTTTAATGTAAGCTTTCTGGCACGAGGCTTTGCGTTTTGTTCCCTCAGATCACTATGTCGTATTCTCTGTGTCGTATCGTTTGCTGTAAAAAAAGTGATGAGTATTTTTCACACCCGAACACAAAAAGGCAGCGTAAGACGAACATCGAAAAGGCAATCACGAGACTGCTCCCTGTTTTCGGTTTCAACATGACTGCCTATTGATGACTTGATGTTTTACCGTCCGAACTGCCCCAGCCGTACCGTGTCGCTGTCGGATGAGTCGTCTTTCGGAGCCGTATGACCCAGCGACGGTTTGGTAACCTGAAAAGCCTTGTGGTCTTCTTAACGAAGAGTGTTTCACCAATTCCCAATCACCACTGGCCTGACAGCAATGTACGGTCGGACAGTTTGATGATTTTTCAAATGCAAACTATGATTGATTTCATCTGATTGTTTTTCTTTCCTACCCTTTGCCTCGTGGGTTTCGATCCCAATGATCCAGTAGTAAATCTTTCCGTTTGTTCTGGGGTGTATTTGCATTTATGCGATTTGTTCCCTTTGGTCGTACAATTCGCCCGGATTGCTTTGATAAAAAACGCTAACTGATCCGAATGCACCTGCAGTGATTGATGAGTGTGGTTTTGACCAATTCACTAACCCACCAACCTCACAGCTTCTACGGATCGATCGGTATTTACCACACAGGATAGCTGGTAATGCTTTTTTACGCGAACTCGCCTACGTCTATTTTGTTTTCGGTTGGCGCCGCTTTTTCCATTACAGCGCTCATGTTCAGCTGCGGGTCACGTGCACACAAACTCTAGTGCTTTGTTATTCGACCAGGTTTTTGATTTCATTGCAGTATGTAAATCAATGGTTGTGGCTATAGCAAGAACTTGTCCAGTTTTCCCTCATCCTCATACACTACTTTCACGTGC